GAGCATATGTTAAATTCAGGCCCACATGCATGAGTGTTTGTGAGAAGCACAAAATAATTTCATATAATTATTTCAACAATTTCATTAATTCTGCAGATAATTTCAGTTGTAATAAAATTCATTTCCTATATTTAGTATTACCTGCTCCATGGTGCTAAGCAAAGTCTAGTAAGTATATAAACTTCTTGAGTGGTGCTGCACATACAAAATGTGATTCATGTGTATGTTTACAACCACAAAGACATTAATTTGTAGCCTACAGAAAGACTGAAGTTCTTTTACGAATTAAACAGAGACACTTGTGCTAACTGCTGAAGATGCAACTAGAAAACCCAGCCTTCTATTCTGGGATCTTAAACCTGGTGCCTTCAGCAAAGAGCGTTATCAATGATGTGAAGTCATATTTGGCTTCTGGTGAATAGCAGTGGGGTTTTTCCTCCTAAGATGCTCCTGTGAGGTGCTGTATCTTCTTCCTGTGATGTGCCTGACAACACTAACCTTTCTCCCCTGAGAGCAGTGTGTATGCCCAGAGGAGGAGTTCCCAGGGGCTTCACACATCCCTGATCTACCATCTCCCTCTCGTCCATGGCCCCCGTGGTCTCCACTTTGATTTTAGCATCAACCCTAAACTTTTTCTCTTTTCTTAAACTGATTCATGAAGGTTTTTTTGATGTAAAATGATATAGAATGACCAAATTCTTGTCCACTACCCACAAGAGAGGTGATTAAGAAAGGCCTCTGCACACGTGATGGTGCACCTCTACGGCAGGACAGGCAGGAGGCTCCACACCCCTGGGCAGATCTGGGGCCTTAAAGGCCATTAGAGATGCAGGGGTAGGTTGTCCCAGTCACTGCTCCAGGAGGCTGGCAAAGCTTGCAGAATCCTGAAAAGATAGGACACCTCTTCTCCATGGAAACTCTAACCCTCTCTGGAGAGTTCACTTTCTGTTGGAAATTTGACTTTGCAAACACCATGCTGCTGCTGCTGCTAAGTCGCTTCAGTCGTGTCCAACTCTGTGCGACCCCAGAGATGGCAGCTCACCAGGCTCCCCTGTCCCTGGGATTCTCCAGACGAGAACACTTCTCCAATGCATAAAAGTGAAAAGTGAAAATAAAGTTACTCAGTCGTGTCCAACTCTTAGCGACCCCATGGACTGCAGCCCACCAGGCTTCTCCGTCCATGGGATTTTCCAGGCAAGAGTACTGGAGTGGGTTGCCATTGCCTTCTCCATGCAAACACCATAAGACCTTCCAAAGTCACAAGGTGACCATAATGAGTGTTGGGCTTAGAATAATTAGGCCGGGGTGATGGGAGAGGGGTGGGACCTGCAGTAGTGTTCTCTCTAATTAGAGTCCCAAATGATTTTAAGTGATTTCCCTACTTAACCAAGAAAAAGCAATAGCAGCAGCACCCCCTCCTTCCACCATTAAAAGGAGAAAGATGGGTATTTTTAATTGAAAGCAAAGCAGCACAAAACTCTTTAATTATAGGCTCAAAGGGGCTTTGAGCTCATCTTGTAGCTTCTTGGCTTTCAGCAGGACAGTATTAAACCTTCCTAAAAAGATAAGACTCAACCTATTTTTAAACATATCCAAAGACGGCATTCTAGTCCTCTGTTCCTTTGTTAGGGGAGTTTTCCTTTTCTAACCTCACCACAGGTAAGTCCCTATCACTAACCTGAGATATCACATTAGAGTTTGGCTTAGTTTGCTCAGCTGAAGTATACAGCTAGACACAATTAGCCTTTTTCTAAACTGTACTTCTCCTCTGTCCATCGGTATGAAATTATAACAAATTACAACAATTAATTAAGATATTTGGGTTTAAATCAATACGTTTGGGGCTAGATGCCAATGAAATCACTTACTGATTAAAAGACTGCCACCCTTCCTTTTTTTTTTTTCATAACTTTTACTTTCTCTACCATGGGCTCCAATACTAATGTCTCTCCCTTTCCCATCTCTCTGCTACACACACACAACAATAACAAATGTGCACCCTCCCTCTTAATGTAAATTAAGAAATATCCTTGAAACCACTAGTTAACATTTAGATCTTGTCCTTACTGTTCACATCCAGGGGTAACAGTGAAGGACGCAGACATTGGAGCCCAATGTCTGTGCTTAAATCCTAGCTCTGGCACCATGAGCATATTTTATCTCCCTATGGGTCTGTTTTCTCATCTGAGAAGTGGAGACAATAATACTATCTACCTTACATGAGTTACTACATTACAAGCCCTTTAGAATGGTGCCCAGTACTCTAACTGTAAGTGCTATATATTTGTAGCTATTGTTACACCCTCCTTGCAGCAAAGTGACATTCAGAGACATTAAATGATGCCTGATGTTCCAATAGGCAAAAGTTTGTGAAAGAAAAGGAGCAGGATTTAAGTTTAAGGGGAGTGAAAAAGCAAGAAGAGTGAGGTGAGAAATTTTAAAAGACAAAAAGGAAATAAGACAGCAAAAATTATAGGGAAAGAGTAAAGCAAACATTTAATGAGGGGAAAGGTAAGAAGAGAAAAATACAAGCTGAGGGGGAAAAAAAGAAGTAAAAAGGAAACAAGAGCAAAAAGGTGAGCATGAAAAAGGAAGAAATGGAGGAATGAGAGTAACAAAAGAGACCAAAAATGAAAAAGGACCCCACTTAGAGCCTGAGCTATCAGAAAAAGAAGGGAGTGAAAGAGAAAACAGAAATGTTGGAACAGAAGAGACAGGGAAGAGAGGGAGATGAAAGTGGTGACAGGAAGGCTTCATTTTTCAGCAAGGCCTCTCTGTCTTTGAATTAGGGGAAGTTTACATCCAAAAGTAACACACCTCTGATCGGCCAGAGTTCCTTCCCAATTCTTCCTGTTGCCTTAGAGTCTGCCCCGGACTAGCTCCCTAAGGTTTGTCCTGGTCGGCGTCTGCCTTGCGTCTGGTCCGCTCTACCCTTAAGGCCAAGACGCAGGCTTCACTACGTTTTCCCTAAATACTCCAACCATCCTTTTCAACTGAAAAATTAGCTCTAGAGCAAATATTTACACCCTATTCCTTCTACAAACAGTCAGAAACCTATAAGGGGTGGTGGTGTTTCTTCTTTTAAAATTATTCACGTTGAAATATTCCTCGCCCTCCCTTCTTTTTCTTGAGCGGGGAGAGGGGGGTTTATTTAGAACAAGAGGACAAAACGATACAGTGCCGCAGGGGTATGCCGCTTTTAGACCTACCATTTGTCCTTCCCACCAAAGGGAATTAATCACTCAATCACTTGGAAACGAGAGGCTGGCTCTAAGTATAAAAAAATACGATCAGTATTTAACAAATACTTTTAAAGTATTATCATGATTAAATTGCCTGTTTGGTGCAAAATACGCCTCCCTCTTGGAGGAAGTCAAGAGACCTTAGAGGGCCCTCTGGGCAAACGGAGTGGACGGGCCGCGAGCGTCTGCTCACGCCGGGGTGAACCTGGGCCGCCGCCGCCGCCGCCGGAGTCACGAAGCCAGACGCGGCGCGTCTCCGCCCAGGACCCGGGAGACTGCAGCAACACGGCCGCAGCCCCGGCGGTTCCCGGAGGCGGAGAGGAGACGCGACTCCCGCAGACACGTGACCTCCTCCCGGCTGCCGCTTCCCGCGACCCAGACTCGTCCCCGGAACCCGCGCTCGGCGGGGTGGGCCGGGGGACACGTAGCGACGGCCCCGGTCCCTGCTGCGCCCGGGTGCGCGTGCATTTCGGCGTACTTCGCCCCTTGATTCACGTGCCACTGGCAATAACGAATGTTTCGGGAATCACCCGGGAGAATGCAGGAAGGAAAGACGTTGGGTTTGAAACCGATCTACTTGATACAGATTAACATATCTTCTCTCCATCCTTGCCCTTGCAGACGCGAGTGGCGGCAGCGGGGCCAGAGACCTGGGGGTCCCGCAGAAGGCTCTTCCCCACGCTTGGTCTCCAAGGTCCCTGGCCCTCCGCTGCGCAAATGCGGGCACCTCCGGGTAACTCTCACTAGCAGTGAGTCATGCTCCCGGGATGGCTCTAGGGAAAGGTAGCCCTGCTCCGCTCGCCTGTGCTTTCCCCGCGCCGGGCGCCGCGGCTGCAGGGCGAGCGCGCGCGCGCACGGGTTCCCCGCGCAGTGATGTGGCAGCCGCGGCAGGTCGGATCACGTTGCTGGCCCTGTGCTGGTACCCGTTGGAGACAGGATTAAGGAGGGAGGCTTTGGAGGTGCCAGCGGTAGTAAACGTGGGCTCTGCACACTCCCGGCGTCGCTTATCACACGCGGGGGGAGGGGGCGGGGAAAGCACGCAGCGCCACCCGAGACGCGGGGGGCGGCGGAGTTGAGCCCGTGAACGATACTGCTGCATTGCTTCTCCGCCGTCGCCCCTCTCTTGCCACCCCATCCTCTCCCCTCCCTCCCCGCCGCGTCCCTCCGGGAGCGCCTGAGGCCCCGAACGTCGTCATCTGCGGCTGTGACTAGTGGCACCGCAATTCCGGCGGCTGCGGGAAGTTTGGGTGGCCCAGGGACACCGTGTGGCCGAAAGACACTGGGGTTGCGACATTCTGCCCTAGTGGCTCCAGTTGCATTTATCTTATATCCTTCAGGGAGCGGATTTCAAACTGTCCCTTTTCGGGACAACCTCCAATCAGGGCTATAAGGGGTTCCCCCCCACCCAGGCCGCCCAGCGGTGCGCAAACAAGTTTCCAAATTGTCCTCTGGGACTGAAGCTGACCCACCGCGAATTCTGTTTCTCTTTCCTTTCTCTGGTCCAAACCAACAGCACAGTCGGTGGAAAGGCAAAGAGCCACGTTCACGTTCCTGAACCGTCATGACGGACGGGTGGAGGGAGTCGCACTTCCGAGGCGAGGAAGCCCCGGCGGCCCCGCACCCCAAGCGCCCCCTCCCACTCCCCAGCTGACTGCACCGCCCTCGGGAAGATGAAGAGCTTGGCAGGAGTTGTTTTGCCTTTCCGGTGGCCCTGATCAGGTGTCCCCGCCCCCCTCCCGCCGGTCGCCTCCCCTCGCAGCCCGCTCCCTGCGCCCCCTCCCGGCCCGGCCCCTCCTCCCCCGCCCCCCTCCGGGCTGGACCGCGGATGGTACGTTCCGCACGTGAGCTGGGTGCTGGTCTGGCCGGCGACGCGCGTGCCCTGTGGCCAAACACTGCCCGGAGTGAGAGCAAACTCCCAGCGCAGTGGGGCCGGCGCGAGTGTGCGTGCGTGTGTGTGCGTGTGTGCGAGAGAGCAAGCGCGGCGGGAAGGGGGGGGGGACCAACTGCTTCACACTTTCAACACTGCACTGAAGAGGGAGAGAGAGAGAAAGAGAGAGACTGGAGACCTACAGATCCCCCAAGATCTCCCAAAGCTACCGTCCCACAGATTATAAACCCCAAAAATCGAAACAGAGGAAACGGACAGCGGTTGAACATGGACGAAGGAATTCCTCATTTGCAAGAGAGACAGTTACTGGAACATAGAGATTTTATAGGGTAAGGTGCACGCACCCTTGCGAATATCTGTCTAGGCTTCAGTTTGATTTTTTTTTTTTTTCTCCTCCAGAAAGTGGTATGAAGCGGGCGAGGGCAGAGCCCCTCCCCGAATGGGTGCCTGATGCTGATTTCTGTTTTGCAGACTGGATTATCCCTCTTTGTATATGTGTAAGCCCAAAAGGAGCATGAAGCGAGACGATAGCAAGGTAAGTGTAGTTTCCGATGTTCCCCATAACCTGCCTGGGTAGTTAATTAGGGCCATTGATTTCAAAGGGAAGCTCTGCCCTCAAAATATATTCCAGCCTTTGAGCTTCCCCAACTGTGAATTTTAAGTGGTTTGCTGGATACTCTCAGGGGGAGATTAAACATCATACCTGAATTTAAATTGCATTTCAGAACAGCCCAGAAGAAAGAGGTGTCTTGGGCATAGTTTCTCACGTAGTATTGGGGGGGGGGGGCNGGGGGGGGGGGGCAGTATTTTTATATCCAGTAAGTGAATATTTAGCTTATCGTTTTTTCTCTTCCATGACTCTCATATTTGTAGGACACCTACAAATTACCGCACAGATTAATAGAAAAGAAAAGAAGAGACCGAATTAATGAATGCATTGCTCAGCTGAAAGACTTACTGCCTGAACATCTAAAGTTGACAGTAAGATGCACATTTTTATTCTTTGCTGTTCTGAGGGGTCGTGTTAATAGCCTGGTTCCTCTCCCAAGAGATATAAGAATAAATGTAAATATCACATGCCTTGCAACTTGTGCTATAGTGTAGAGTTTCCTGCAAACTCAAGAGTAGGTGTTCACAACTGAAGGCAAGAAATCATTTATAACCTGTATGGTGGAAAACTCAAGAAGTATAGGAATAGTACTTCTATCAAGTATTTGCTTAAGTTGCTGTGCCGAATGGAGAGCAAGTCTAGCCAAATGTATGTTTTTAAGTAACCAAGTGCCCCCTTCTTTTTTGCATCATTGCAGACTCTGGGGCACCTGGAGAAAGCGGTAGTCCTGGAATTAACTTTGAAACACTTAAAAGCTTTGACGGCCTTAACGGAGCAGCAACATCAGAAGATAATTGCTTTACAGAATGGTAAGTCAGTTTAGGGAGGCCAACCCACCCCCGATGAAACAGGGCAACCCACAGAGGAGCACTGTTAGGATTCTTCCCCCACCTCCACCTCCTTCCCGGGGCTCACTTTCATTTGTTAAATTGCTTACACTTTCCCTTCATTGGAAAGTGCCCACTTCCCGACGCATCCTAGAGGCTTCCAACAGAATTCGGAGGAATCAAATTTTTATATATAAAGTGGTGGTTGCGCCCTCTCCACTTTGGTTTCTCAGCTGGGACTAGAGCGCCCCCCTCCTACCCCACCCCCGCCACCCCTACTCCTCCCACCCCTCGGCAACCGGTGGATAATATCATTCGAATACAGAGGGAAAACCGAGATCACTTTAGTCAGTGCAGGGCCCACGTGATAAGCAGATGTTTCAACGTCGATATTTTTCTTCTTGCCTTCATTCCTCTGTTCCCTTCCCCCGCCCCCCACCCCTTCCTCATCCTAGGGGAGCGATCTCTGAAATCGCCCATTCAGTCCGACTTGGATGCGTTCCATTCGGGATTTCAAACATGCGCCAAAGAAGTCTTGCAATACCTCGCCCGGTTTGAGAGCTGGACGCCCAGGGAGCCGCGGTGTGTCCAGCTGATCAACCACTTGCACGCCGTGGCCACCCAGTTCTTGCCCACCCCGCAGCTGTTGACTCAACAGGTTCCTCTGAGCAAAGGCACCAGCGCGCCCACGGCCGCCGCCCCCGTCGGCTCCGGGGCCGCCCCCTGCCTGGAGCGCGCGGGGCAGAAGCTGGAGCCCCTCGCCCACTGTGTGCCGGTCATCCAGCGGACTCAGCCCAGCGCCGAGCTCGCCGCCGCCGAGAACGACACGGACACCGACAGCGGCTACGGTGGGGAGGCCGAGGCCCGGCCGGACCGCGAGAAGGGCAAAGGCGCGGGGGCGAGCCGCGTCACCATCAAGCAGGAGCCCCTCGGACGCCGCCGCAGCCGCGACCCTCCTGCCGCACGAAGTGGCGCCCCCTGGGGCTCTGCACCCCGCGCACCCGCACGGCCGCACCCACCTGCCCTTCGCCGGCGCTCGCGAGCCCGGGAACCCGGAGAGCTCCGCTCAGGAAGATCCCTCGCAGCCAGCAAAGGAAACCCTCTGAATCCGTGCTCCACTGAAGAGGGGACCAGGGGTCGCGCGGAATAATCATATTAATAAGTTAAAACACCCTTAACGTTTTTAAGGGAGGAAGTGTAAGAGATGCACGACAGGCTTTAAAAAACAACACCACAACACAGGTGTTTTGTGTACATGTGGAGTTCCTGTTTTGCTCACCCCTCACCGCCCGCTATCCTCACACACCTACATCCCTTTTTGCCCCCACAGCTGTCAAAGAACCTCCTAGATACCGATTCTTTTCTTTCTTTGAAGAACTCCCCATAATAAGTTTGGCCTTTTAGGCCACGTTCCATTCTCTTTTAAAATACAGAACCGAATTCTCGAGGAAGTGAGAACGGTCTGCTCTCTGAACCAGGGTAGGAGAAGGTAACGTGGAACCCCAGGTAGCTGGTCTCTGCCTGCGTCTCAGAGCTGTCCTGCCTGCTTTAGGAGGCTTTCCACAGGCAGAAGGAGGACCTTTTCGAGTTCGACTTACTCTTCAGTATTTTATAATGTTCAGCTTTTTTAAAGGCGTGCATTTGTCAAAGAGGAAGAGGTGAGAGTGCAGGCGCTCGCGTTGCAACCCATTCTGAAGTGGTTTGAGTGGTGTCTCTTACTTAGTACTTGCACTCCTTTAAAAGAGATGCGGAGTTGGGCCATGGTCGGAACTAAGTCAGGGAAGGAGATGGATGAGGAAGGCCAGAGTCATTCTCAGTACATTTGCTAGCACTTTATTGAGAAATTGACCGTGAATCAATTAACCCATCTTAATTTCATATATATACATATATATGTGGAATTGAGTGCCTCTGTTCTTACCCTGTCATTATTTAATCCATCGTTTCTAAGTTTGTATCATCTTCCTGTTAAAACAAAAAAGAATGTGCACTGAACTTTAAAAAGTCCAAACTGATTTATCGTATATTCTGTTAATTCACAAAAATGGAGGAGGAAGGCATGGACAGTTTCCTTTGGAAATGCCGTAAACATGTGGAATGGAGCCCTGTGAGGCCTTCCTATCTCCAAGTCTATGTATTTTCTGGAGACCAAACCAGATACTAGATAATCACAAAGAAAGCTTTTTTAATAAGGCTTAAACCAAGACCTTGTCTAGATATTTTTAGTGTGTTGCCAAGGTAGCACTGTGAGAAATCTCACTTGAATGTTATGTAAGGGGTGAGACACAACAGTCTGACTATGAGTGAAGAAAATATCTGGGTCGTTCAGTCCGTTTGGTGCATTTGCTGCTGCGTTGCTACTGTTTGCCTCAAACGCTGTGTTTAAACAACGTTAAACTCTTAGCCTACAAGGTGGCTCTTATGTACATAGTTGTTAATACATCCAATTAATGATGTCTGACATGCTATTTTTGTAGGGAGAAAATACGTGCTAATGATATTTTGAGTTAAAATATCTTTGGGGGAGGACTTGCTGAAAAGTTGCACTTTTGTTACAATGCTTATGCTTGGTACAAGCTTATGCTGTCTTAAATTATTAAAAAAAAAATAAATACTGTCTGCAAGAAACCAGCTGGTTTAGAAAAGTTTAGTATGTGAAGATAAACTAGAAATCATCTTTATATTCTAGTATTTTCAGCACTCCATAAATTCTATTACCGAAAATAAATATCGCCACGCTATTTTGTGATTTTAAAATTCTTACTAAGGAATAAAAACTTTAATATATGTACGCTATGAGATCGTCTAATAATTAAGAAGGCATAAGGGACACTTGATTAGTTGTAAGATATCTAAGAATACAGGGATGAAGGTCATTTAGGTTCTCCAGTACCCAAGTTTGTCTTTGGCTTGATATCACACATTTCAAATGTCTTGCAAGCCTCCAGGTTCTAGCTGTATCTACTTGCTTGTTCCCAGTGTATTTACATGGAAAGTGCAAAAGAAAAACCTACCACTCACTCACCTAGTTTGTTTATGTCACACCCAGTTTCTAATACTTTCATGATTGAGGGGTGTATCCCTTTTCATCTTTGACACCAGATAGCCTCTGATATATGGCCTGGTGTTTCTCTTTCACTGGGTCCCATATAAATACTGTACCACTAATATCTCGGTATATTTTAGCTTCTTAAGCTTTATAAAGTAAGTCTCTTGTGGGACTTTATTATGGAATTCAAGTAAGAGAAATAATTATTGCTAGACTTTTCTCAAGTTTACAATCAGATTTGTGATTTGATACCAAATGTGTGAAGGATTGTCAATATTTAGTTTCAATAATGTTCACAAACCTCTTTATTTCTTAGAGGTATTGAAAGAATAGTCAAAATTTATGAGATGTAGAAAAAGTGCTCCCTCTGCTGACTTTATGGCAACCAAACTGCAAGTCATAGAAAGTGGAGCCGGAAGGAAGCTCAGAGAACAGCTGTCCAGCCCCCTGCATTTTAAATAGAAATGAAGCCCAGAGAGATCAGATATCTGCCCAAGGTCACACAGCTACCCAGAGCAAGCACTAGAGGCCAGATGTGTTGTATTTCTCAGTCAGTGAACTACTTCCCACTGCAGCATCTTCAACCAAATAAGCCAAATTTGATTGGGCAGCATTCAAATAAGCCACAGGAACAAAGGAAACAAATATTAACATTGCAAAACTACGTAGGATTTTTGAGCATTTTAGCTTATTGAACTTTAAAAAAATATTCAAAGCCAAAATAAAGGAAAAAATAGCATTTTGAATACTTTGAGCTACATGTTGTAATAATACGTTTTATAGTCAAAAGAGATGGAAAGTAAGTCAGGATAATAAAATGTTTTAGCATTTGTATAGTTTCGGTGTAATAAAAGAAAAAACCTTAGGATTGGGTCAGATTTTAGAGAGTAGTTTTTTAGTTCAAATGCCTTTATACTAGCATGGTAATAAGATAAAGTTGCTGAGGATAGAGTTGCAAAATAATATCTGTACTGCATCTGAAAAATTTTATTTTAGTCATTGATTTATTTTAATGAACCAAAAGACAAGTCATTATAATTTGCTGAAGAGGATTCTATACCTATTGCTGTGAAGTTTAGCCTAGATCCTTTGTAGTATATGTGATTTTTCAACATATCACAAATACGAATCTTAGGTCAATAATGTTTTTACACATATAGTATTATACCAATTAATTTTATATACACAGAGCTCTTAGCAAAGTTCATACTGAACTGATAAAAATCCTTTCCTACCCCAAAGGACTAAGCATATTTATAAGGCACTAGGAACTACAGTTTAATAGCTCTTTAAAGTATGGCTGGAATTTTAGTTTCTATCATTGTGAAAACTATTTCTCATTTTCTTCTCTGCTACTAACCATACAGTCCACAACATTTGTTATTGCCCATTACCTGAGGTTTGTTCAAAAGTATGTCAAACCTCAGGCTGTTCCTGCCCACGTCACAGGTTCACCTCTTCATGGGAGGTGAACTCCAGTAGAAATTCTGGGAAGACGAGGCTGTACGAACTAGGCAGGACTTTTTACTTTAGACAGAAATGAACAGAGCCCTCATGAAAAAATTAAGCCCATTATAATGCCCAAAGTTGGCTGTATTATTGTGATAAAAGTATTTTACTTCAGAGAGCAATCTGATGTTTTTCATTCAACAAAAATTCTTAACCTATTAGACCCGCAGATCAGTATTTAGGCCTACCCATTGTTCTAACTGTGCTGTTTTAAATAAGGCCAAATGGGTATACAGTGCATGTGTGTGAAGTCACTTCAGTCATGTCCGATTCTTTGTGACCCCTTGGACTGTAGCCCACCAGGCTCCTCTGTCCATGGGATTCTCCCTGCAAGAATACTGGAGTGGGTTGCCATTTCCTTTTCCAGAGGATCTTCTTGACCCAGGGATCGAACCCACATGTCTTGCATTGCCTGCATTGGGAGGCAGATTCTTTACCACTGGGGTCACCTGGGAAGCCCCCATGAGGATGCATAACTCCCCATACAGTGCATACTTAAGCCCAATGTAAGTTCCAGTTTTTCATAGAATTTAATATGGGATCCACATGGAAAATTATCATATATTTTCTATGATTAGGATGGGATTTATACTAAAAAAAAAAAATGTGCAGCATGTACTTTTAAAAAAAATGCTCCGGGAAAGGAATTGGACATTTGTCTTAAAATTAGGTTTCTTGCACTTGTTCAGTGATTCCATATTGAAAACTCTGAACAAATGTAAAACTAAACCTTTATAAAAGCTGATGTTTTAAAATCTTGAACTAAGTGATGTCCAATTTATGTGACTTCAGGGAATGATATGTGCCCCATGAAACAATGGTTGAGAAAACAGAAGTTTCTATGTTCAGGTGCCAACATTGTCTATCTTTTCTTTTTCTTTAGTATTTCAGTGAAAAGCTTAGTAAAATATGTTACACGTATCTTAGAAAGAAATACTTTATCTGTAGTTAACCTTTCTCAAGAATTCAGGGTCATTGTTATAAACCACTTTTGCACTACGAAGATCATCTGGGAAGACTAGCAACTGCACTAAATTCCTTTTTGAGTCCTTATATCTGCTTTTATTTCAGTCTCTTTACTCAGGGTCAGGCTACCAGCTTCACTTCTTGATGTGTCAGAGCCTTTGCCTCCAAGTCTTATTCTAATTTGCTACTTCTGAATTACTGTAGCCTGGGAAACCATTTAACCAAAACTCCACCCTTTGAAACGCGTATAAAATGAGAATAAATACGTTCTAACAGAGTACCTGAGGGGCGCTTCTCTAAATTCTGTGAGCTTGTAGAATCAATGACATGTTGATCTTGACAATTTATTTTCTTCCTTTAACTTTCACATTCTCAGAAATATTCCATATCAGAAACACTTATGCAAAAGCCTTTATATATATATAAATATATATATATATTTAATCATTTTATTACAGAAAAATGGTTTTATTTTACAGTTACTACAAAATAAATTCCAATGCCAGAAGCCAACTATTTGATTTGATGAATACTCTTTCTCTCAGGCTGATAGGAATAGGGGACCAATGGCCTTCAGTGAAATCTGATCCTGCATTTTGATTCATGGGTGACTCTGGACCCTGCTTCTGGTATACCATCTCCTCTGCCTCTAGGTTTTGGATATCTTGGTTGGCAGGTCCAGATAAAGCACTCTGGGAACTGACAGGGAAGACATGTAGGCCCTGATGCGGCCTCTGAATTTAGACAGGCCCGTTGGAGAGCCTTGAGAGGTTCCAGACTTCTTGTGTGTGGATGCCAACAGACTCCTTTTTCCTTGAGCCTACATATTCAAGAAATAGGGGTTATGGGCATTTGTTTTTCTCCTACTGTGTGTGAGGTGCTGTGGTAAGAGCTGGAAAATCAAAGATTAATGATCTCAGAATCTCAAAGTCTACTAGGGGTGACAGACCTACACTAAAATAAATTAGAATGCAACATAGTAAGTGTGATTATAATACTTGGGGATGAAGGTTGCTAACTTCATCTGGGTGGACCAGAGAAGACCTTAAGAGGTAGCTCTGTTTTCCAGAAGGAATAGGAGAGTAAGTCCATCTCCAAAGAGAAGGCCCTGGCGCAGTCTGGTCATGTGCTAAGCACCAGGACCGTTTAATTGGTTATATTTGACTCGAGGTCTGAGTAAGTACTTACTAATGTCTCAAGTCTCTTTCTAACTTGACTGCCATACTGACTCTCGCCATCGTCTCCTCCTGAGGATCTGGGCCATAAGGCGTGATTGAGGCAGGGTCATGGTATTTCCTACTGCAAAGAATAGTATAAGTTGATAATATCTAATGAAGTAAAGGGGGAAAGAATAGTACCTGGCAAGCAGCTGTGTCTCACCTCACCCATCCATCTTCAAAAGAAACTAAGGATGACTTCTTCCCCTACAGGTAGGGGCATGATTATCCAAGTGTTCCACTCAGTACCCAAAGGGGAAATGAGAGAAAGGAACCCTAGAGGGAAACAAGAATCCTAAAGCCTGTTTTTCCAAACCTCTGGGACAAAGCTGAAGCAGCCAACTAATCCGAGGTCAGGTAGCTCAGTAAGTAGCAGAACCAAGACTAGAACCAGATTTTTTGGTTTTAAGTCCACTGTTCTTTATACCATTATCCTATAGTATAGTAATTAGGAGGGCAATAGGCTGAGGTTATCTCTTTAAATGAGGTAAGCCAGTCCATTTGAGGTCATAAGAAGCAGACTGTGTGTTTTTGGTGAACAAGGGAAGATTAGTGCAGTGATAGATAGCCTTTTCAAATTATGTCATAAGAGCATGAAATAATTATGATGGTGAGATTCTGGAATAACAATTTTCAACGTACCCTACAAAGAACCATACAGTTTTGCTGTCTACTCACTTTGGAGACATCCAGAAAGGTTTCCTCCTTGGTTTGGAAGTCCCCACATAATCTGGTGAGTTTACCACCTCTGTCTCTACCCCTCTGTACCTAGTGATTCTAAAGTTTCTCCATGAAAGAAGGGATCAAGCTAAGCCAAGCATCTGGACCGAGAGAATCTTTAGAATTGAGAAAGTAGAAAAGAGGGTGATTTGCTAGTTTTTATATGGGGTATTTTTAGGGTGTTGTCAACTTTACAAGGCTTCCCTTGTGGCTCAGCTGGTAAAGAATCCGCCTGCAATGCGGGAGACCTGGGATCGATCCCTGGGTTGGGAAAAACCCCTGGAGAAGGAAAAGGCTACCCACTCCAGTATTCTGGCCTGGAGAATTCCATGGACTTTATAGTCCATGGGGTCACAAAGAGTCAGACACGACTGAGCGACTTTCACTTCACTTCACAACTTTACGGTTTCATTTTGAAGTCTCTTACATATGGGTATGCATGCTGAGTATCCACCACGTAACTCTGTAAAACTTCGCTTTCATATGCGGCTTTATAGGTTCAAGCAGTGTTTCAAAAGCTAGTTTTGACAGGGGGACTGCAGTTTGGATTAAATTTCTGAAGACCTCAGTTACTTCGAGTAATTATAAAAAAATCCCTCTGACAGGGGATTTTAAAGACACCGGCTTCTCTTTCGATGGTTTAAGCGGAGTTTTGTTTTCAAGTATATATGTGTTAACGGGGCTTATCTGCACAGCTATAACGTAGCTGTGCGGTCCGCATGAGACCCAACTGGTGAAGAAGCCCGACTAGCCACCCGCATCCTGGCGAGCTCTGCAGACACAAGTGGGCGCGATAAAGGATCTATTTCTGAGCCCTGTGTTTGAAACGTACTTATTTAAAACCTGGAAAACCAACCCTAGCTCTGAAATCGCCGTTCGAGCGCGGAGTGGTGGGGGGAGTTAAAGCAAGAGGGGAATAATGTCATCAGCCTGCAGATCTTCAAGGAGCTCTAGGATTGGAAAGAGAGACGCATTCTTAGGTTGCCTAGCGATAAATCGGCCGATGATATCATTCTCCCGGAGGCCCGCCTCCCCCTCCCGTCCCCGCCCGGCTTCCCTTCCTCCGGGCCCCCTCCCCCTCCTCTCCCCCCTCCCACGCCCGGGTTCAAAGTACACCCGAGCCGGGTGAGGGAGCCCGGGCCGGACGCGGCGCTGTCACGTGCACCCGCACATGCCGAGGCGCACGCTGCGCGGCACGTGAGAGGGGGCGGGGCGGGGACCTGGAGACTCCGGAGCGCTGCCTTCTGCGCCTGCGCGCTGGCCCCCGTTTTCCCCCCCCGCCCCCCAGCCGAGAAATGGACTCGAGGGAGCCGGCTGGGGGCTGGGGTGGATTGGAGGGCGGTCGGGCGGAGGGCCGAGCAGAGGGTTGGGCGAGGCGGTCGGGCGGGGACAGGGACGCACCCTCCCGACAGCTGCGCCGCACCCTGCTTCTCCGAGTCCTAGCGGGCCGGGCCGCGGTAGTCATTCCTCCCGAATTAAAGCTGGCTGTGACTCCGCGCTCCTCGAACCATTCTGACACAGCAGTTTCCGAGCAGCCCTGCCGGGCGCGGGTTAGAGGAAGGTCGACAGCCGCCCCGGAGGGCCTGGGGGCGGGAACTTCATGCCCAGGCTGGCCGCAGCCGGGGGAAGTGACAAGCTGGGGGGTGGGGGTAACACCCTGTGACACACCCGGCGGCGCCGGGACGCGGGCCAGACCCTGGCCTGACCTGGGCACGTCTTGCTGGAGAAACCTCTGGCAGTGGCGGGGGGCAAGGTTGGGGGGTCGGGGTTTGGGGGAGCATCTCTGATTGGTCTCAGTTCTGCATATTGAATTCTCACTAATCAGTAGGGGATTTATTTGTGATAAATATATTGGGACTTTCCAGGCAAGGTGTAAAGTAAAAGGAGTGAGTCTATGGCCCTAAAGGATTCTGCAGGGTGCAGTAAAGTGGAGGAAGTTATTCAGGGGCTGGGGGATGGGTTTTATGTTATATTTTCAAAAATTATTTAGAAACGCTTTCTGTTAGGAAAAATGAGCAACTCTCACATTTTGCCTTTTTGAAGTGATCGCAGTAACTTGATTTTGTAACACGTCTGGAAACGTGCATGTTTATAAAGGATCTAAAGTGAGTAATTCCTCTGAAGGAATGTGTAGTTCGTGAGGCCTTTTGGCCAAGCGGGTGCACACGGGGCAGTGTTACAAAGATAGAGAAGCCTCACTACCCCTTTGCAGATTTGGTTCGGGTCATGTGATGGAAAGTGAGCTCGGGGGTTGCCAATAATATTTGGACAAGTCAGGTGCCAGTATTTGCTAAGACGTGCTAGAGTGGTTGTAAACGCTCCAGAGTAAAGGGCACACTGCGTGCCGCCCTGGAGGCAGACTGCTGTGAGCAAACAGACATTCCCAAAGCACAAAACGAATTCATGGTTGTTTGCCTGCTAATAATATGTATGCATAATGTCTTGCAGGTTGAGTCTGAATAACACTTCTGTACCACCCAAAGTGTTTGTAGGAGACAGCTTAGTTATCAGTAATACTCTGAAAGTTGAAAAAGCAGAGGTAGATTTTGAACAGTCAACAAATATCTATCAAGCTCTTACTATATGCCAAGCATTGGCTATACAGCTGTGACCCATATAGACGTATTCATCACCCATCATGGTGCTCAAAACTTGCAATAAAGCCTTGCAAGTTCCCAGGCATTTGCCAGCCAATTATTATTTATGGCCTCTAGAGATCATACCTCTCCCTGCACTGGAGTTTTTTCAGTTGGTGCTTAGGAAGATGCCAGGCAAAAGGCATCAATTCCCCTCCACTCTCCCTTCCCTCACCTCTTGGAGCCTGCTAGCCTCCCTGCTGCTCCTCCACCAGGACAAGCTTGATCCTTTCCCAGAATGTGTGCACTTGCTCATCCATCTGCCTGCAACCTCAATCCCCAGAAGGGGGATAGCTGATCCCAACCGCACTCCCACCTTTTTTGAGGTCTTTGCTCAAATGCCAGCTTCTTCAAAGAGGTTCCGCCTGAGCAGCCAGTAGGCAATATATAAAATGCCATTTCTCTATCATTTTATTTTTGCTCTTTTTTCTTCATAGCAGGAATCACCCAGATATCATGTATGTACGGATTTGTATGAATACACAGACATATAATTTGTTTATTGCTTGTCTCATTGGGATGAACGTGGACTTTGTTTTGCTCACAGCTCTTTGTCTAACGCCAAGAATGGTACCTGGCAATAAGTAAATATTTATTTGCTTTTTTTTTTAAGTCTGTTTTGGTGGTTTGATGCTGTGAGCCGGCTTTCTTTAGTTGCAGTGATCAGGGACTACTCGTCATTGTGGTGTATGGCCTTCTTATTGTGATGGCTTCTCCTAGATCACTGGGCTCTAGGTGCACAGGCTTCAGTAGTTGGAGCACATAGGCTCAGTAGTTGCGGCTTGCTGACCCTAGGACACATAGGCTTCAGTAGTTGTGGAGTGCAGGGGCTTTGCCCTTTGGCAGCACGTGGAATCCGCCCAGACCCCAGGGATCTACCAGAGTCCCTTGCATTGGCAGGTGGATTCTTATCCACTGCGCCACCAGAGAAGTCTTATTTGCCTTTTATGTATTTTTTTTTTACTTACCATGTATTGATCTTCGATAAACATTTGCTGGATGAATGAATGAACATCTCTGGCAAGCATTTCAGCCTGATTACCTCACTAAAGACAACAGAACACGCCTCTCAAAGCAACCCTTGCATGTTAAAGTTCATTTCCTCAATACTTATTGAGCACCTGGGTGACACAGTAAGTGGTAAGGAGTCAAAGGCAGTTAACTCCTGATACCTGCAAGTGGGAAACAATTTGGGAGTGATTTGGAGGCTGATTGAATTTTATTGTTGCAATAAAATTATAGATATGGTATTTAAGCATTAATAGATTTCCCCTAACAATAGAATTAATATCATTTCCAATTTAGTCCAAATGATTACAAGTTATGGTTAAAAGAAATTGTTCACTAAACTGAAATACCTGCTTTGAAATGAAAAATTAGACTGATCATTTCTCCATCCCCTGAGGCAACCTGTAGAAGAAGTAAGTCTCAAAGATTCTATCTCAGCTCTCAGATGGCTACTGAGCCTGCATGGAACTGAGTGGGACCATCAGACTTCAACCCATGATGGAATTTACAGTACATAGGGCTTGAAGGTCCCAAATGCTTCTGTTCTTCATTGGCTCTGCCAGGTGTGATAACCTTTGTCCCTTAGGCAATGAGCTTCTTCAGGGGGAGAGTCAGTCAGTGTTTGTCAGTGTATGCTCAGCATCTAGCACAATGCCTGGCGTACAGTAAGCACTCAATAAATGGCTGATGAAATCCAAACTCTCCATTTCCACAATCATTGTCCTAGTTCCAAGTATTATCGTCTCACATCTGGATTATTGCAAGAACCTGCTCAGTGGCCTTTTCGCGGTCTTTCTTTCCCATGCATTGACCACACTGCCAGCTGTTAACTCTTGCAATATCAACAGCGCATGAAAGAATAGTTAGAGACAACCCATTACTTGAAGATGTCATGAAAACTTCAATGTCCCTTCTAGTTTCACTTCCCTTGACTCTGCCCCTTCTCCTATTGCCCCCAACCAGACGATGGGCATCAGTTGGCCTAGTTGCACTGAACTACCACAAGTTCTTTAATATGCTTTATACTCTCAAATGTTTGTCTGGGTGAAATAACCTTATTTGGAAGTCTCCTACTCATGCGTCAAAACTCAGCCCAAATTACATCTCCTCTGTCAAAACTTCCAGAACTATCTGAATCAAAAGGGAACCTCACTCATCCCTTTGCTTTGTGTTCTCTTGGCCCTTTCTTTAAATCTCCACTTGGCTGTTTAAACTCTCACTGCACAAGCATGCGGGTGCAAGAAATGATGTCCTTATTTCTCTCATTAAGTCTAACTTCAAGCCACCTTCCCAAGGGCTGGTGGGAAGAAATCTCAGTCACTGTGGGCCGTCCCGCTTCCACTCTCCTTAGGACTTCACAAGGACTTGGGACTCCAGGGTAAGAAGGAAAGGCCCTCTTCATCCCCATACTGTCTGAGATATTTGTCAGTGTCCAAGACTGCCACTTTTGGTATAGTCTGCTGAAGCTGGGGATCCAGACCTTAGGGGCATTGAGTCCCCATTCCTACTTGGGCCTTTGCCACATCAGAAGAACCCTAGACCTGTGACGCCAATGCCTCATTGCTTCTGCCTCTACCCCTGAGGTAATCTCTGACTTTGGAGAGGGTTATAGGAACCAGGCAGTTAACTTCAATAAGCGATGTTGGCTGAGAATAAGACCATGGAGAAGGACAGGGGCCACAGTGAACTGGAGGTTGTACCCCCGTAAGAGAGGCAGACAAGACTCCCAACTAATCATAGCCAGGTGAAAAGGTCGCCCAGGACTTCCAGGTCACTGGACTTTTCCAGAAGAATCTGAAGTCTAGATTTTAATGTGAAATCTACTCCCAGAATGTTGGCAACTATTTTTAGAAACCTCAGAACACTATTCCTTATAAATGAAGCATGTCTGTCAAAAGTATTAGCCTGGGGAAGTCACTCTGAGACCTCTGCTTTAAAGGAGGGTGGGAGTGGGGTGGGAGGAAGGCATGATGAGAGGTTTTCTTCAAGCATTTAACCCCAAACTTCCCTGATACAAGTAGCCCTGAAGTTTTTCTTGAAAATGGGTGAAGGGAAAAATGCAATGAGAACAGACATTGATAATGTCTCAATAAATTACCCTGTCACTCTGGGATTGTTCACATTGTGTTGTAATTAACTGGGTGTGTCTTCCACAGCCTGGCGCCCAAACATTGCTCCTGCTCAGATTGGCACCATCTCCAGCCTCTCTTGGCCCTCGCTGCTATGACTGTTGACTTGTCCTTAGCTCCATCTCAGATTTCCTTTATGATCCTCCTCTGTCTCAGGCCTCTGTCCCACTTACCTCAAGTCCTCTGCGAATTTTCCCAGTCTCAGGAAACTCCTACTTCAAATCATAAGGCATCATTGTCCCAGCTCTCACCCTTCCTACCTACCTCGTCCCACACCAGCATTTTCCTTCCTTCCACTACAGAGGGAAAAGTCACCCTTCTGTTCAGAGCCAACCCTTCAATTTGTGTCACTGATGACTGGTAAACCACCACCCTGCTTCCCACACGGTGAGTCCAGATTTCTGTTAAAGGAGTTCTGTTATTCATTCATCATTGTATTCCTGGAGTCTAGTACACTGTCAGGGACAGGCAAGATGCCTAATAAACATTTATCAAAGTGTGAAAGTGTTAGTCTCTCCGTTGTGTCTGACTCTTTGCAACCCCATTGACCACAGCCCGCCAGGCTCCTCTGTCCATGGAATTCTCCAGGCAAGAATAATGGAGAGTAAAACGCGCACCCCCCCCTTCTCCTTAAAATCTGGGGGCTATAACCCAGTTCCTAAAAAAATTGTCTAGATACATAAGACAACTGTTGACACCTGATGCTTTGTGGGTATTGATGTAGAGACAGTAGTTTCCCCTGACTCTTGAGTGTGGGCTAAATTTGGAGGAGATAATCCAGGCGTGAATGTGGCTGGCAGGCTGGGGAGTTCCTCCTGGGTCAGGGCGGTGCCGTCCAGCTGTGAGTCTGCCGTATTAATACCCCCTATTTGTCTTCTCTGATTACTGCTGGTGAGGCTGGCTTCTGGCACTTGCTGAGGAGAGCAGTGGGGAAGCCTCCATGTCCGAGGTGTCACATTGCTCTCTGTCCCCTTGGGTTCCACCTAAGGACACCACTGCTGAGTTACCAGATTGTCCCCTGGAGAAAGGCTATAAAAGCACTAAGCTTTCTTTCTTCTTGTATGTTTTGAGACATTTTTCTTTTTCCTCCAACTTTTAAACCTTTAAAAAATATATTTTGATGGTATCTTAAAGTCTGTATAAATTAATTATATTTATCTTTAATCCTACTCTCATATTCTATTTTATATCTTCCTTATTACCCTGTTTACCTTCAACCTTTTTTATTTTGATTTTCATCTGTTTAAAATTATTTCATAACTAACTTTCATTCTTATTTTAATTTTAATAGTTATTTTAACCTTCTGGTATCCTTGCAAGTTTTACTTTCTTGTTCTCATCTTTATTCAGCTTATTTTATAGTCCATGTTGTACTTCTGTTTTGTAAGTTTTTATAATTCTCCTGATTTAAGATTTCACCTTGTTTTTCCTTGAAGAGTTTCTTATTTCTCAGTTTTCAGCTTTTAATTGGTTTTAAGTCTTCCAGAATCTTTTAGGATCACATTTTAATCTGTATTCTCTCTTCCCTTCCTTTTTGGCTCTGTAATTTTCTACATTTTCTCTTATTTATTATCTGTCAATCAGTGTAGTTCAAATAATTATTTGTAAGAGGCACATTGAAATTAAGAAATTATCTGTCCCCTACTATCTGCCAGTCATCACGGTAAGTACTTTTTTTTTGCATTCATGTTTTTTTGTCACAGCTTTCTGTCTTATCTTGATTTTCATATTGTGTATTTTTTAATCTATGGTTTTGTGTGTTTTTTAATCTATGGTTTCTAATGTTTTAATTAATTTCTTTTGTTTGCAAGGAACAGACTCACTCCAATTCCCTCAAGTGATGGAATTTTATTTTAAGAATGAATGTGCAAAAGAGGAGACAGGAGTCTCAGCCACTCTGCTGACCAGGTATCATGCCTATCCTATGGACCGTCTTAAGCAAGAGCTAAAACTGTTACGCATTTGGGCACCAGAAAAAAAATTTAGAAGCAAATGTCATATCAAAGTGGGAATCTTCATTCTGTTCTTTGTTAATACCCATAACCTAACTAAATCTGAATTTCAAAGAAGAGAATCTTATCAATATCCAGGATAAGAATCAAGCTACCCAAAAGGGGAAAGAGGAAAAGTTCAAGTAGCTCCAGATTCTTCCACAGCAACATTCACTACAGAGGACAGAGGAGTAGCCTCGTTACCCAGAAGTGTGGTGCATGAACCAGCAGCATTGGCATTTGGGGGAAGCTTATTAGAGATGCAGGATTTCAGTTGCCATTCCATAGCTGTTGAATCAGAATCTGTGCTTGACCAGATTTTCGGGTTACTCCTAGGCTGCTTCTTTGAACTTTGCTTGCAATTTTCTTTGGTCCTTTGTTTTTCTTTTTCCTAAGAAAGCCTATTTATGTAATTTTTTTTTTAATTGGAAGTATTTGTTTGCAAATTAGAACCACTTGAGGAATTTCTTAAAAACCTCTGTTTCATGAATCATATGCTCAGAGAACTTGATGGAATTGGTCCGAGAGGATGACCAGAAGCCAACAGTTTTTCAGAAACTGCCCAGGTCATTACAAAACGCAACTCAGACTGAAAATCATTGAATCAAGGGAAACCAAATCCATGAACCCCTTTTCCAGCAAAAAATTACTGAAAGATCGACACTTAGAGAACAGAGAAATGAATCAAAAGAAAGAGTTCAGAAATGAAGACGCTGCGGTGAAATAATTATTGAGGTAAATAAAAAATACACTACTCCTAAATAAAATTTCAGTTAAATAATATCTAATTGGCACTCTAGAAGGTAGAGTGTACCCTCTAAATTTCTACTTGTGTTTGGGACCCCCCTCTGTCCCCAAATCCATCACTTTTTGTGTTTTCTATCATTTGTCCTCAGGGGTTCACACAAGTGATGGTTGCTCCTGGTCCCTCCTTTGGTCACATCATCCCTGGCAAGCTCTTCTTCAGCTGAAAGACTTGGCAATGAGAATGGTGACTTAGCTTACCAGTCTGCTCTGGGTTTCTAAAAGAGTGCCAGAAGTATGGACTAGAAGACTAGGGAAAAGCTTGTGATACTAGATTAGAGTTAGAAGGATCAGTGTGAACTCATGATGGCATTTATGTAAACTGCACAGCTCCTGCCTCTGAGGCCCTGCCTTGCAGATTCCAGTGCTTCAGCTGCCCGAGGCCCCGTCTCCTCCTCCTCAACTCAGAGGGACTGCTGCTCTCAGCTTAGATTCCTGAGCGCTACACTGCAAGCAGGTGAATTTCCCCAGGCAGACAGCCGGGAGTCATGAGGCTCCCCTCTTAGGTTTCCCAGCCTTCAGGGATTGATTCTCTGCCCGCTCTGCCCTGTGTTGTTGCTTCTCCAATATCTGAAAACACTTGCTTAGACTTTTTGTCTAATTTTATAGTTAAGGTGAGAAGGTTAGTACCAGATCCCCCATCACAGACAAAAGCAGAAATGCTGAAATATATGGCATTTGATGATAGTATTGTATTTATGTAAAATTTCCTGGAATTGATCACTGTAGTGTGGCTATGAAAGAACTCCTTATTCTTGGGATATACATGTGGAAGTATTTGGGACAAAGCTGTCTACAACTTACTCTGAAACGGTTTAGTCAAAACAATAACAATGCAAATAATATTAATACCAGATTTGTAGAGGAAGTGAGAGAGACTGATAAAGCATGTATGGAAGATGCTCTCGGGGAGAAACTAGACGAAGATATATGGGAATTCATCACACTATTTTTGTTAACTTTTCTGGAAGTTTGAAGTGTTTTCAAAATAAATAGTAAACAAAACATGCCGCTTGAGTGTAGACTGGGATCAGGCTTCACATCCCAAGTTAGTATAGAAAGAAAAAGTAGAAATTTATAGTGAAGAACCCTGGGAAGTACCACCTTCACTCAGAGATCAGGGTCGACATCACCACCTGTAAGTCATGTGGACATCAAGTACCCACTGACAGTATGTGATGAGCAGATTTTCTTAACTCAAAATTCACAACCCAAATTAAGAACTAAAGGGGATGCTTAAATACATGTTCCCTTAAATACATTTTCAAATAGATAAATATTAGCCATATCATTTATGTCTACCTAATTTAAATAGCATCTGTCTCTAGAGAAATAAGGATGATATATCTGTATTTATCAACCCCATCCTAGTTCTAGAGTCCTGAGAAATTCATGACATTGAGAAATTAGGTGCTCTGACCACAGTCCTCCTACCCAGTCCCACTCAGCAGATTGGTAGTTTGGATCTCCCTCACTGTGAGACCTCTGTGTTACCTGTCGATGAAGGCCTACCTTCTTACAGCTGACCTGGCTTGCACCCAGATTGTCCAGTTTCAAAGGACTGGATGTCAAGCTGTTGAGCTGGCTTGTCATGTCAGTAAACTCTCCACCTGCCTGTGGAGACTAGGACTCCTTTCCTGGAAAGTTGGCTGTGGTAAGGACCGAGATGCACTGGCTCTCCTCACAGGATTTAGCATCAGCCTGCAAAACATCTGGAAGTTTAATACTCAGCTCCCCTCCCCATATTTGTGGTTTTAGTCATTTTTCTATCTGGCTGTTGGGAATATATATTTCGGCAGAAGTAAAGGTGAATTGCCCATCTTTATTTTTTCAATTTTATTGGGAAATAGTTGATTTATGGTAAAGAGTCTGTCTGCAATGCAGGAGACCCAGGTTCGATCCCTGGGTCAGGAAGATCTCCTGGAGAAGGAAATGGCAACCCACTCCAGTATTCTTGCCTGGAAAATCCCATGGGCAGAAGAGCTTGGCGGGCTACAGTCCATGGGTCGGAAAGAGTTGGACACAACTGAGTGACTGACACATGCGCGTGCATGCCTATACACACACACATAAACTTGGGCTTCCCTGGTGGCTCAGTGGTAAAGAATCTGACTGCAATGCCATAGACATGGGTTCAGTCTCTGGATCAGGAAGCGCCCCTGGAGGCGGGGGAATGACAAGTCTCCAGTATTCTTGCCTGGAGAATCCCGTGGAAATGGGAGCCTGGTGGGCTACAAAAAGTCTATAGGGTCGCAAAGAGTCAGACACAATTAAAGTGACTTAGCACGCAGGCATAGTTAATTTACAATATGTGTTAGTTTCAGGTGTACAACAAAATGATTCAGTTATACATAAATTCATTATTTTTTAGATTCTTTTCCCATATAGGTCATTACAGAATATTGAGCATAGTTCTCTCTGCTTTACAGTAGGTCTTTGTTGGTTATCTATTTTATATATAGTAGTGAGTGATTCTTAATCCTGGGAATTTTTTTTTTGATGGTGTCACGCGGCTTGTGGGATCTTAGTTCATCAACCAGGGATTGAACCCTTCCCTTGGCAATGAAAGTGTGGAATCCTAACCACTGGACTGCTAAGAAACTCCTGAATTGCTCATCTTTACATCTGTCAAGCTCCAAAGTACTGTTGTCAAGAATTCAGGGTTATATTTCAGGAATCTTTTTCCTTCAGTTTGGATCTAGGTTCACAGTAAACTGTAGATGTTTTGTCTTACCATTGATGGGTTCTGCCCAAAAAACACATAGTTGGTTTGAAGTGCTTGTCACCCCTTTCCTCTCGCAGTGGGAGAACGTGTGCTCTCTGGCTCACACAGACAGCAAAGTAATTGAGCCAGAATAGGACAAAAATAATGTCTCCTAAATTCTATTTTGGAATTTTCCTCAAATGTCCTCACTTAGAATACTTCCAGTGGACTTACTTTTCTTGCTGCTGCTCATGAAGTTATACTGATTATATTGACCAGGTAGGCTATTGGGTTTTGGTTAATTATTAACTTGGATAGCCCCAGTACCTAACACCATGACTGGCATTAAGTACATATTTTAAAAATTAGTTAGTGCATCCACTCATCCATAAAATCAATGGACCTTCTAAAAGTTTAATATCTCTAATATTGGAAATAGGTAAAATTTGGCAGTATTGATAATTTATTATGTAGTTGAGAAAAGCATTGCATTAGTTTTTATTTCATGGGCTGAAAATATTTTTGAGAAAGTTTTATCTTGTGAGAATAGTATATTCTACATTTATTATAAATTGATCATTGATAAATTAACTAGGGCTTCCTAGGTGGCTCAGTGGTAAAGAATCTCCTTGACAGTGCAGGAGCCGTAGGAGACATGAGTTTGATCCCTGGGTCAGGAAGATCCCCTGAAGTAGGAAATGGCAACCCACACCAGTATGCTTGCCTGGAAAATTCCATTGACAGAGGAGCCTGGTGGGCTACAGTCCATGAGGTTGCAAAAGAGACAGACACAGCTGAGCACCCATGTTACTTGAGATAACATTAAATAAACTTTACAACTGAGCCTAAGAGATAAACTGGTGAAACACTATATCATGTTTTATAGCTGAAAAACATAGTTTTCCTGGGGAGGGAGGGGAAATGTGGTGAAATGGGTATGAGGTTATTGATGTCTGTAACTCTCTTTTACATTTAGATGCTAAGATCCTTGTGATTGCAGACATCACTGAGCTCACAAAACCTCCTGGTGATGCTTGCCAGTGTTATGAGACAGACACCACAAAGGCTCAAGACCAGCTTGGGGGCTTCAACTGTAACCAAGATTGTTATTTCTATTTCCTTTCTCATGCTCAGCAATCCCCTATAGATTAACTACTCTTCCCTGTCAGGTCTTCTGAAATCCACAGTAAGCAATAGGTTATTAGATCACAGTGGTGGAATGAGCTTGAAAATTTAGAGAGCTTTTGTCCTCCATGGGGATGGAAGGTTGTCATCTTGTGATCTCTTTCTGAGTCTTGGCATCTTAGATAGACAGTTCAGTTCAGTTCAGTTCAGTTGCTCAGTCATGTCCAACTCTTTGTGACGCCATGGACTGCAGCACACCAGGCCTTCCTGTCCATCACCAACTCCCAGAGTTTACTCAAACTCATGTCCATTGAGTCGGTGATGTGGTCTAACCATCTCATCCTCTGTTGTTCCCTTCTCCTCCCACCTTCAATCTTTCCCAGCATCAGGTCTTTTCAAATGAGTCNTACTCCTTTTCCTATTTGGAACCAGTCTGTTGTTCCATGTCCAGTTCTAACTGTTGCTTCCTGACCTGCATACAGGTTTCTCAAGAGGCAGGTCAGTTGTTCAGGTATTCCCATCTCTTTCAGAATTTTCCACAGTTTATTGTGATCCACACAGTCACAGGCTTTGGCTTAGACAGACAGTACTTGCTCACTGAAGCTGGAAGGATTTCCACGTGGAGTGGAACACTCCTGACCTATCACTTTAAGGATATTGCTTAAATCTCAAGGTGTGCTCTGCAATACTCATCTTCAGTAGACAAGACATTTCCAGATTATGCAAATCCTACATATCACTGTGGTTTATCTAGACTGTACAAATGCAGTAACCAGGATACAGGTTATCATCGGGTAATTCTATCCGTGTAAAAGCGTTGTCTGGACAGGCAAGGCAAAGGCAAAAATAGGTGAAGGTCTTGGCCTCAGCACTTTTTCCCTTTAAGCTGGGTGTTCAGCATAGCTCACCCTGTTCCATTTGAGCATTCCAATTGTAAATTCTGCTGAGATTCAAAACGCCTGGGGTGCAGAGCCTGGCTCCACTGTCTAATTGCATAAACTTGGGAAAATTGCTCACACATCCTTCTGTCCCTTTCTTTACCCATGTAAAGAAACGGTGATGATATAAGATCCTTGAGTGTTTGGAGCTTCATGGATGTTCAGATGCTAAACAGACGTTAGCTGTAGTTGGTTCTTAGGACGCAGTCTAGCACAGAGGTCAAGAGCATGGACTCTAAAGTGAGACAGCCTAGTTTCAGTCTCACTTATCCGCTTTATGACCTTAGGTGTTACTTCTTTAAATCTATGTTTCCTTGCCTGTAAAAAGGATGATTTTAATGAGCTAAAAATAGCTATAAGGGTTAAATGGCATCATCTTAGACTTGCTGTATTTTCATTGCTTTCTGGGTGAGTCCCCTGGCCATGCTGTGGAAAGCCCAGGAAGGAAGGGAGACAGGTGCGGCCTCTGCTTGGGATGAGGGATCAGCATACCCCAGCTAGGTCGGCGCTTTCTGGGGCCTCAGAGCTGGAGAGACTCTGCAGCTCATTCCCACGCTTGCCCCGTGGGGGGCAGTGAGGGGTGGTGGCCCTGCTCCTCGTGCTGCCCAGACAATGAGACTGATCTTCAACCTCTCTGTAGGTTGTGAAACTAGTTATCTTTGTGTCTCACCATCTAATCAGTTCTCATGTGAGGGTTTTTCTAGGTCAGAGGACCGTGAGCTCTTGGGTTCACTGTGGTCAAAGTCAGTAGCCACTGAACAGGAAGCTGCTTCACGAATGAGATACGAGATAACTTAGAATTTCTTCAAGAACTTCTGTCTGTTTCTGGGTAACAAACTCCTGTATCTAAAATCCACACAGAACTTCCATATTTCTAACCAGCACAAAACTGAATATCTGCTTAGTCAGAACATCCCAGGAGTCCCAGGCTGTCAACTACCCTTAATTGCATCCAGACAGATCTCATGTCTGGAGCCCTAAACTGCTAAGGAATTCACGTGAGTCCAGTCGGGTCAAGGTGGTCTTTTCTCAGTCTGGATGGAGGAGAGTTCGGGGGAGAACGGATACATGTTTATGTGTGGTCGAGTCTCTTTGCTGTCCAGGTGAAACTATCACAATGTTGTTAATCGGCTGTTTTCCAATATAAAGTAAAAAGCTTAAAAAATTAAAAAAATAGAATGTGTAATGCCCTGTATCCTTGTAGCATAGTTAATGCTTAAAAAAAAAAAAAAAAGCTGGCCCTTCCTGAGTTAGGTGATTGTCCCCATGAACAGTTTTCATATTTCTGGTGTGGAAAAGGGATACGACAGTGGCTATTTGCTATGTGCCTCTTACTATATAAACTGCTGGGTACTGTGCTAAGCACATAGCATGTACTAATTTACGAAATTTATGACGTAGGTGCTAACAGATAAGGAAACCTAGGCACTGAGAGATTAAGCAACTTGCTTTAGTCACACAGCCACCCTCCCCAGGCTTGTTTTGCCCTTTGCTAGTCCGTACCTGATTTTAGCAACCAGTCAGAGGAAAGAAAAACAAATTTCCATAGTAACATTTAATTTGTCCCTAATAATTGCTGAAGACTACTTCTATCACCAAATTTACTATGAAGAATTTGATTCCAAATAGTCATAAAAAGAACTTAAAAAACTAGACTAATTTTACAGTCATGTAATTCTGACTCTAAATAATGTATATTTGTGTCCAAGAAAATGTATCATTTTATTACTGAGTTATTTTCTTAAAAATTGCTTTATCCCCCTAATGTGAAATCTTACTTTCATCTTATTTTTTTGCATATCTACTCTGCTTTTGGTTTACTGGGACCTAACCTGCCTGATATGGATAGGATTCTAATTACATGCTTCCAAAATATCCAGACGAAAATTTCATGCCGTCAATAGGGCTTCCCTGGTGGCTCAGATGGAAAGAGTCTGCCAGCAAGGCAGGAGACCTGGGTTCA